CCCCCCCCCCCCCCCCCCCCGGTCCTGCTCAGGCCACTCCCAGCCAATTAGGCCACCTTTAACATGATAATGACTCGGGAAGGTCTGTCTGCCGCAAGGCGGGCCATAAAAGGTACCCCAAGGAAGCTGCAGGGCTTCTGTAGTTCTTCCTGTGGGCTTCCGCGGTCCACCCATGAACGCCCCGCTGGCCATAAATACCGCTTATCGAGCTTACTCCTCCAGAGTGGCGGCCACCGGCATGGGTTATGAGCAGTACTACTGGCCTTCCCCGGAGGAGAAAGAGCAGGAGCCGGTGCACAGCTCGGAGGGGGGCCCTCCCCCAGAAGATTTAGGCGACGTGGAGGAAAAGGCGTCCCCCCAAAACCCAAGTAAGCCTCCAAGGGGAAGGGTCCCAGGAACGCGCGTGTAGGCGCTGTCGTTTTAATATCCCGGCGTTATGGGGCGAGCGGTCCCTTCGCCTTGGGATGGGAGCGAGGCGTTCGCCTATTTCGCTAGGCCACAGTGCGAGTCTTCTCCCACTACACGTGTGTAAATCGAACCGTTCTGGTTTGTGTACTTCACTGTTTGACCTGAATCCTGTCCATAGTGGGTAAATACATCAAGGCCTAGCTCTAGATGGGCGTGTCCCGTTCCTCGAGTGCTTCGGGGTCAGAGCCTTTGCAACTGGTTTTGGGAAGCCTTTCGATTTTGAGATGGTTCAGCCACGTGGAACTTGTAGCCCAGAATAAAATGCACTGGCTTCCGTGTTTCATGTAACCCGTGTTTTAAGGCGAAGGATTCAGACTGGATCCCCATCGTGCTAGTCCATACAAGCCAATGCTGGCAAACCACGATGGCTGGTTCATAGAAGACCAGAAACAAGCAAAACTATTATGTGAGTTGTTCGTAAACTCTTCGGTGGAACTTTGAATGAACATACGTGGGACTTCTTTTAAGGAGCAACTTAAACAAATAAAATCCCGTAAGGAGTTCGCACCTTGCAACTAAAATCCTGCGGTGGCCGCATATTTACTCTGAAGTAATTCAGAGATGGCTAATTGAGGGGAAGGGAGTGAAACTGGGTCCTTCGCGGCTAAGACTACTTCATGGAGTGGAAGTCCGGAAGGGTCGGCGCGTGCACAGAATCGGGGCTGATTTCCAGCCTGCGTTGCGAAGCGGGCGCCCTCCTAAATGAGGCGGCCGTTCGCGATTGGAAGGTTTCCCACGAGCGACGAGCGAGAAGAAAAGGAGGCCGGTGCTGGGAAGCGTGTCCGTTCTGGGTTGGGGTGTTCAGCAGTCCTGCCTCTCCCCATCTTCTGTTTGGCCCACAAATTATTCTTTTCCAAATCTGAGACAAAGAGTATTCTGGGTTGGTTCCTATTTGCATAAACGTCAATCATCAACGTTTAGACTTGTGCTTTGCAAGCCAGTTATATTTTTTAAGAACTAGGCATGTGTTCTTATTACGAAATATATCCTTTATTAATGTTACAGTATTATAAACCTAAGGATACCAATCAGAACTGAAGGTCTTCAGTGGAACATTTCAATACACTATTCTGTCTACTGAGAAGTAAGAGTTTGAGCAGGTTCCATGCAAAATAGGTATAGAATTGCAAACAAAGATCTGAGGTTTCACTGGGTGAGATAAGCACAAATTTAGAATTTTTGGTGAAATAATTTGCTATTAAACATGCCCAGTAGTAATACATTCAATATATAATTAGCGTTTGACTAACACTTGTATTAATTAATAAAAATAAGGGATACTTTACTGATTGCAGTGAATGCAGCCTTTTTGGTCCTATTAATCTATTAAAATATACTGAGTTAATTCCTTTGGTCATGGATGCGTAATTTTTCAAATCTCATAGAAATCTAAGAATTGTGTACATTAAGTGTTTAGTATAGTCTGGAGGTTTGCCCATTATTTCATCAATGATAAGTATGCATAGTGAGAAAATACCTCTTTTAAACATATTAAACATAAAGTTAAGGTTTATATATATAGTCCTCTTCTGCCCTTTTATGCTGTTTTTGCTTAATTTCTAGATCTTTCTCCAAGGTCCTCCAGTTCTGGACTATTAATTCTTTACACCCCTGACTCTGCCACCAGTCCCAACAGGCAGTCCTCTTCTCCACAGCTGACTTCTACACCCCAGAGCTGCAAGGAGGAGAATCCAGGAGCCAGGAAAGTCAAAACACGCACAGCTTTCTCTCAAGAGCAGTTGGAGATCCTGCACCACAGATTCCAGAGCCAAAAGTATCTCAGTCCACAACAGATCCGAGAACTGGCTGCAGCCCTGAAACTCACTTACAAACAAGTAAGAACTTCTGGCACAGCCAGAATTCAGCCCAAAACTTTTTAAAAGATTAGACCTCATAGTAAGTGAGAGCCAATTTAGTGTAGTGGTTAAGGCACCAGGCTAGATACTGGGAGAACATGAGTTCTAGTGCTGCCTTAGGCCCGAAGCCAGCTGGGTGACCTTGGGCCAGTCCCCCTCTCTCAGCCCTAGAAAGCAGGCAAGGGCAAGCCACTTCTGAAAACTAGTTGCCAAGGTAACTGCAGGGACTAGTCCAAGCATTTGTCAGGAGTCAAAGGCACAAAATAATTATATTAATAAGATTGGTGTGAGGGAGTAGTAAGCATAAATCTCCAGAGTTACATTTTGAGTTATTTTGACTAGTGGCTCTTAAAATATTTTTAGCATGTATCTAGAATTCAGTTTGGATCAGTCTTTAAGGTAACCTCAGTGTCCCATATTCTTTGATCATAAGTGTTTTCTTATTCTCTCTGTAGTTAAATCTAAACTGCATTTTCTGGAAAGAATCTTGGGTGATAATACTTAAAATAAGTGACAGACTTTCAAATAGTTCTGAGTCCTCTGAATAGTTTTTTCTAAATGTATTTTTTTATTTCTGCAAAGCTTGGGGCTCCTTCATGCCTGCTGCTGCCACCTCCTTGTTGTGGGTAACAGCTATTTTGGTTTCGTGAGCAACAGATTACAAAGGGAATGATGTGTTGCTGCTCATCCAGACAGAACTTCCATTCTCAGAACTCAGTAAGGACGGAGAATGGCAGACTCATCCAAGTGCATTGTATAAACCTGTCCAGCATCTCTTCCCTCTCATAGATGCTGCTAAGAACTGGAAGTGTAATGATGCAAGAATTGTCTATCCCTGCTATTTGGGTTGTTGGCCAGCTAGGTGCATTAAGAAAGCTTACAGATTCTGACAGAAGAGCAGTAATTTTTTCATGTTGTTCCTTAGCATCTGGTATGTAAGGTTGTCTGCCTGCAATTCCTAAGGTAGTTAAGAGCCATCAAGGCTCTAGCTGTCAATTTTATCCAGTCTCCTTTTAAAACCTCTAAACCAGAGGCCATCGCCATATTGAATTGTAGTAAATCCCACAATTTAATTTTGTCTTGTAAAAAGCATTTTCCTTTTACTTCTCAATGAGTGCTAACTTTGTGAGAAGGGGAGGCAACTTCTTGACCTGCATCTTGCACACACTGCATATTTCTAAATACTTCTGCTGTAGTAACCAAAAAATTGCACAGTATTCCAAGAGCTGAGTTCGCCCATGAGCCTTTGTGTCCAGAGAAGGACAATGTCAAATGGTATCTTATCCTTTCACCACATTCCAGGTAAAAACATGGTTTCAGAATCAACGGATGAAGTTTAAGCGAACCCAGAAAGAAACTCTGTGGATGAGAAAAGGGATGTGCCAAGCTCAGGTAATTGGGCAACCCGCTCTTCTGACCCATTAAAAATATATTCATGGGTTCATTCTTTATTGTAGGCCTGATGGTAGATGGGACCATAGCTGACAGGTGAAGTGCATGTTTTGCATGTTCAAAGATCCCATGTTCAAAGCCTTGCATTTCCAAATGGGACTGGAAAACACCCGTCTGGAAATTTAGAAAGTGACTTGGATCAGAAGGAACGCTCCTGAGCTAGAGGGACTATTGATCTGATAAGGCAGCTTTTTCTGTTTTTAACCTCTGTTGCTTGAGAACTGGGGGCTAGTAGATAATAATTTAATGAAGGCTTAAGAACCTCTGCAAAGTTTTATATGAATATATGCCTAACATAATGGTCTTAAGGTACTCCCTCAGCTGCCTGTAATGGATGGCATGAGCGGGGAAGATTCTGGAATGGAAGTTCAAGATTGTCAGGAGGGGGGAGAGGCATTCCAGAGCAAGCCCCTCCTCAGCCCGCAACAAGAGTGTGGGAAAACAAAGAGGATGGAGCTGCCCCCCCTCCAGAGTCTCATGGGGTATAGCCACTGGTTGCTTTAGCATAGGTTTAGTCTAGTGAGATTGATGTCAGGTTCAGCCCAAGAACGAGACAACCAGTGGATGTACCCCGTGAGACTTGGGGGAGGGACAGCCTCATCCTCTTCATATTCCCACACTCTTGTTGCGGGCTGAGGAGGGGCTTGCTCTGGAATGCCTCTCCCCCCTTCTGACAACCTTGAACTTCCATTCCGGAATCTTCCCCGCTCATGCCATCCATTACACCTACAGATTTAAAAATGAAGACATTTGGGCATAATGGATATGGGGCTTCTTGTACTTTGCATTAATGGCATTTATGTTCAACTCTGTTTTGCTTGTTTCTCACAGAATAGTTATTTGGACATAAACTCAAGCTATCATGAAGGTTACAATATTGGTGAGGCCAGGAACATCCATTCGCTGGCTGCTGTGCATGAGAACTTCACCAGCAATCAAAACTATAGCAATAACCAGAATTATAATAGTGACCACCAGGTCTACGGTAGTCCCCAGAATTTTTATCCAGTTGGTGAGGATGGGAGCTTCTTTGGAAAAGCTGGTGGGGCCTGTTACAGCCCACAAGCCATCAGCTATATCAGCCACCAAAAGATGAGTTTTTATCCTGGGTTCCCTGCAAGCATGGAGTATGCCACCATGAAGATGGAAGATGGGTATACCTTC